CAATATACTCTTTTCACACCAGCGGGCGAGCGCTTCAACAGCTGTACGGTGTTCTTTATCAGCTGACCTGGTGCCATGATAAAGCAATAAATAATGCAAAACGATTTGCGTATATCTTATCTGAGCTATCAATCATGCACTCTCACTGGCCGTCTCTTTCCTCGGTTAGTCAACTATTCTATATTCTATATTCTGTATGATGAATGTACATACATATGTATATAAATGAAAACGAAAGTGAAAACTTGTTTGCTTTTGCTGCAATTGAAAATCCCCGAGTTGTTTATTGTTCAACGTAAGCAGGGGGCCAGGCAGCGCATCTCTCTTGGGCGCACGCGGCGTATGCGTAACGCGCTCTGTTCCTGCTTTGTATATGGCAAAAATTCGTTTACAATTCGCACATTTTGCAAATAGTGTTTAGTTTTTTTTTTTTTTTTGCTTCATCCATTTAATTTTTTCCTTTTATTTATCCAGCATTTGGTTAAAGTTTGCACACATGTGTTTTATTTTATTCAGCTAACAGCAACAACAACGACAACAACCAGTTTTACAAATAAACGCCTGGAGCTGCCCTAAATATTCTCGAAAAAAGTAGCTGATATTTATGTGTGTTACTTTAATGCCAAGTATATATACATATATTCGAAATTTATATATATATATATATATATATATCTATATAGCCGATTAGCTAGTCAAAAACCTAACCGAAAGTAGGGCGCCATATGCACACCTAGCCGAGAACAATATGGTTTTTATCGCCTCAAAATTTGATTATAGCTAAAATATTACACGCTGCGGCCGGGTCTTGGGGTCTTGCCTACAAATAAAGCGCATATGCGAGCTGGCCTATGCCTTACAAAGTGCTTATGCTTGCTAGGTAGGTGATAAGGGGTATATTGGGCTTGAGTTAAGGAGCATGATTATCTCTTAAAGAAGAAAATATTTTTTTTTTGTACAGGAGAAGATATTTTACAGATCAGAGGCAATCCCTACTGATGGTCGTTTATAGATCAGCAGTCTACCCTACCAGATAATCCATTACTTGATGATGTACTGTATTATTACATATTTATTTTGTATTGTATATTACAGTACTGTATAAGGTACAGTACCGTATAAGGTATTACGTATATATAAAATAAACTTGAGCTTAAATACGTATAAATATGTATATACGCTTCTATGAGAGGAAGCCCTCTAAAAAACTTAGCTAATGAAAAACCAAAGAATAGCTTAAAGATTATATCAAACCAATTCAATTATTATCATCTATAGACACTATCTTTCATTTCATTATTTCATCTCTCTTCATCTCACCCAAACTTTCAGTCTTCGAGCGAGTATTAAGCAGTTGATAACACTAGCCCACTGGCTGTATTTCTCTTTTGTTTATGCACATTGTTTGGTTTAGTTCAATGTGCGTAATTTACTTAGCCCAATTCGAAATTCCGTATAAAGATATTGTTTATGCGCATTTGAATTCCTGCAGCCTGACCACTGAATCGACTTGGACGAAATTGCAGATTTCTGCGAGATGCTGCTAGGCAGCGAGCAGTCAATTATGTCACCCACAAGTATTTTGAGCTGCTCATAAATTTCGTTTAATGAATTTAATTGCCTGTGCGCATAAATCTAAAGCGCTTCAGTTGAGTTTTTACCCAGAAAACAAAGCATTTCGGGCTTGGCGCCGCACCATTTATAAGAATCAACTGGAAATTGCTCTTGAAACTTTATAGCTAGACGATTGACAAATGCCCTACAAATAGTAAAAAGGAGGGGCATATGCATACATTTTTATATAATTTGATACATTTTGTATGTATGCATATTTATATATACATTAGATTAGCTGTAGTAGTCTATAAATATTTCTAATAAATTATTATATTATATTTATCTATATTTATATATTTTTTCCTAAATTTGGCGAAATATTCATAAATTAATTATTGTTTATATAAACAAATTTTTTTTTAACTGTTTAAATATCTAGAATATTTTTGTATTATTTATTTATTTTTTTTATTTCTTTTTAACTCGGTAAACGGCTTAAAATAACTGTTGAAGAAAATTATTTTATATTTCTTATGCATTTTTAAACGTTAAATATTTTTGATTACAACTTTTTTTTTTTTATAAATAAAAAAAAAAAAATAAAAATAAAACATAATAACGAATTTAATTTCTGAAAAATTATTTTAAAAAATAATCATTGAAA